TCTGGTCACATGTGTATGATGCTGTTTGATTTCTGGAGTTCGCTATCGCTCAATTTCCTTGCAATTTGGTATCGGAGCTGTGGTAAGGCGCGCTCATCTGGTGCTTGTCTTCTGCCTTTGCGGTACATGCACGCGGTCTGCTGGACGAGCGGCCGTGGGAGGTGTGTAGTGAGGAGGGTGGAGACAAGTGAGGCGACCCAGGAGGTGAGGGTATCGCTAGGAAGGCTACTAAGTGGTGAATATTGGGTGTTCTCAGTGTGATGAGAACTATCCGATGTGTGAATGATGTTGAGGTTGAACGGTGGTGCAATGCTGGTTGTGGCGAAGCAGCGATTGGTCATCACAATCAACATCGGGTCATCTGGTGAGAATATCTGTGGTTGGGGGCAGCTATTTTGAGCTACGTTGCACCTAACCTTATCTACCCTCTTAGACACTTCTTACCGTGAGGACGTGTGTTCTGTCTTGAGAGTCCTCTCATGTGAGGGGTCATGTGCGCTCAACCTTGAGAGTCGTCGATCTTCGCGTGGAGCATATGGAAGGAGAGGGCGGTGCTATCTGAAGGGCCCTGGACGAAGCACTGGGTCACAGTCACCATGCCAACCCACCGGGAGTAGAGCACGCATGCCTCGCTGCGTGGTCCTTTGTCTGCTCGCTACGCTATAGAGGGCTCCTCAGGGGCAGGCCAGCCCTATGGGAAAGACGAGACCGGACGTCTATAAATAAGTATCGGTGGGGACCTTCCATTGGCTGTGATTGTCGTCCTGTTTGCGACGTTAAATAATTCCTGAGGACTTCGGGGGCCATCCATAAAAACGCCTCCTGATCAGCCAATCGGTCGGTGCAAGGCTCGCTGCACGCGAGGATAAAGACTGTGCAGGGCTGGCCAGCTCAGCAGGACTCGGGGCACAGGGGTGGGCCGTGCGCATACCTTTAGACACTCACGTTGTTTCCGATTGCTCAGGGACGTTGACGACAAGAGACATTCATGAAGAACTGAGGGAGGGGTAGATTCCAGGTGATAAGTTTGGGCAAGATTCCATTCTGCAAATAGACCCAACAAACGGGTCTATTTTTATTTTGATTAGTTAGATGTACAACCATTAACATCTGACAGACAACATAGCTAGAATTGTTGCTTTCTGTTTGCGAACTAATCAAAGTAGTTTCATTTGTAGGAACCTGAACTTACCTGTTGGACCCAAAT